CGGGTGGTTCCCTTATATCAGCATAGAGTGGTTCCCTGTATTAACAGAGAGTGGTTCCCTGTATTTTCAGATAGTGGTTTCCTGTATTATTAGAGAGTGGTTCCCTGTATTATCAGAGAGTGGTTCCCTTTGTATCAGTAGCGGGTGGTTCCCTTATATTAGCATAGAGTGGTTCCCTGTATTAACAGAGAGTGGTTCCCTGTATTTTCAGATAACGGTTACCTGTATTATTAGAGAGTGGTTCCCTTATAACAGCATAGAGTGGTTCCCTTGTCTGATCAGACACACCCCCTCCTTGCCCCAGGGTGCGGCAATGCCCGACAGTGATCGGCCATAATATGCAGCTTATCTCCACAACATTACCATGACACCGCTTTATATTAATGCCGCTTGACAAACGGATAATGTTCTATCTACCGCCCTATCGCCGATACGACTCAACGCTAATGTGAGGCAAGAGCTTGCGGTGTTGTTCAAAATAGCTGTGGGATCGATTAGAGCCTGCGCTGTTTATCTTTAATAGCCTACATTTTTGTAAACTTTAAATCTTTTAACGTGGGGGGGGGGGGGAGGAGGGAGGATAACACCAACTACAAACTTTACAGAGCAAAAAAAAAGGGGGGGGGGGGTGACACCATGAGTTGCCGCACTGGGTGACCCCCAACCTTGCGACGCCACTGGTGTAAAAGAAATACACAAAAGCTACGGGGCTCTGTACAAAACGTGACACCAAGGCCAAAAAAGAAGTAATTCACAAAAGTCTACAATACACATAGTAAATTGTAAATGCTGTATCGTCACGTTCTTTGACTAACGTATCAGTTGGGGGTTGGATTGTATGTATGTTACGGTCAAAGCCCGAAGTCGGCCAATGCTAGGATTGGCCGGCCAATCCTAGCATTGGCCAATATCGCACTCCCATATGTCGGTCAAAGTCCGAAACTTTGCTTCATTTCGGCCTTTGGCCGGCCAATCCGGAGACTGGCCATTGTGGACCGGCCAAAGTCTGAAATAGCTCTGAAATAGCGGACCGGCCAAAGTCTTAATTAGAAGATCATGAGCAGATTTTTGTTTTTTTATGCCGGTAGGATCATGAAATTAAGTCTTTATTGATTATTAATTAAAGTAAATGACAGAAACAAATTTTTTATTGTACTATAGTCTCAATCAATCAATATTATCATTTGTTACAACAAGTTGAACTTTTATGGCATTTAGAATTACATAGCAGCTTGTTATTTTTACACTTGCAGCGATTTGTTGTGCACTTGGTTGTGCAATTGCAGCAAGTGTAGCCTTGGCCCCCAGTCAATGATTGTAAAGATGCGATGGTTCGTAGTGATTTTTCCTCAGTGCCAACTGACGACAATAAGAGCAGTTTTTCGTGAAGAATTGAAAACTCACTTCTAGCATACAGTTGTTTTAGAACACCATGTTCCGTTCCTAATTTGTAAAAACCACCCTCGACGCTCATGACAACTGCAATCACGCTTCGGGGATCACCGCGACCTCTGTCAACATCTGGAACACGGATGCGTACATTGTCACCCACTTCACCTCCTTAAATTTTGTATTTGATGTTTTAAGCATCTTAGCACCTTGATTTTGCAAGCCAGTATGAGCTGCTGACCTGTGTTCCATGATGTCTTGTTTGTTGTGACACAATCTGCAGGTAATGTTCCCTCCGTACCCTTCGTCTGCTTCATTGGGTACTCCACAAATAGCATGGACATCTTTGCCACAGGATCCACAAGATTGAGCTGCACTACAATGTTTTTCACAAACTATACAGAATCTGTTGGCCACATTATTGTCACGCAACTGGTCTGGACGTTCCGCCACGGCAGTAGATGTGTTAGCTGAGGATGTAGTTGCATTTATGGCAACCTCCATTTCTTGTTCAATGTTCTCAAGATCTTCCTCAGTAACTATTTTATTGAGAGCCTCTCTTGGTAGATTTGAAGTGCTAAGTCCCACTTTTGCTTTGCATCCAAACAAGGCTTCGTATGGTGATTGTTGGATTCCTTGATGAAAAGAACGATTTTTCATAAATTGAATGAATTTGAGACTCTCAGCCCAATGAGCTGATTCATTTGTTTGCATCCATGTCATCATCATGTTTAGAACATCTTGGTTGGCACGTTCGACTGAACCTTGGCTTTGGCTATGCCTTGGTTTTCCGTGAACTAGTTTAAGTTCAGGCCACATGTTCTTTAGTTCAGAAATAACTTGATTCACAAATTCTCTTCCATTATCTGATTGAAGCACACTTGGGGTACCAATAGTCGTGAAGATATCCAGCAGCTGGTAAGCAACTTCTTCTGCTCTTTTGGTTTCAAAAGCTCGCAACAATATGAACTTGGTTAAATGATCCTGGTAACTGAGTATAAACTTGTATTTGCCGTCTGGGTTACTTTGCATATCAATAAGATCTACTTGGCATCTTGAGTTAAATTCTTTAAATATCAAAGGTTTGGAAACAAGACCTTTCTTGGGATTAGACAATTTTGTCTGACAAGGCTTGCACAACCGAAGATACATAGTGATGATTTCTTTGGTGATATTTTTGTACTTTCTCTTGAGCTCTTTTTCCATCCGTGTGCGACCTCCATGTCCGATTTTCAAATCAGTTTCATTGATCAAGTCGGACATCTCTTCTGCGTGCACGTAGCAGAAAATAGCACCATTGTCTTCTGTTAGTGGTACAATAAGTTTTTCTTTACCGTCAACTTCAATAACATCATATTTGTTTAGTCGACGATAGTCAACAGTTTTTTTTTGTCTGCTTTGCTTTAGCCTGTTTAACGTCCTCTATAACAGCAATGTATTTGTCTTTGCTGAGAATAAAGCTATTGTTTGGTTTTTCATGCAGTACTGTAGTCAAATGATCTAAAAACATAGTTTTCATGTCAAACGTTGGTTCGATATTTGCATTTTTTTTCTTTTGACAGCCATTTGCTATGTCTGTCTCATGGTCTGACGGCCCTTTTGATCCATGTCGCCTTGCATATAGAATGCTATACAAACAAGAGCTAAACAATACGTTACTCAAAATGAAACCGCACCCAGAATAATTAAAACGCGATCACAACTTAGTCTAGATACAACATTGGCCAGGACATCCCGGCCAATGCGCGCATTGGCCGGCCAATGTACAAAATACGCTGTCAAGTTTAAGTACTTCGGACTTTGGCCAGTACGTCCCGGCCAGTGCGCGCATTGGCCGGCCAATGTACGAAATACGATCTTAGTTTTAAGTTCTTCGGGCTTTGGCCAAGAGAGCCGGCCAATCCGCGCATTGGCCGTCCAATCCGGGGTTTGGCCGCACTTCGGGCTTTGACCGTGACATGTACACAAATTATATAACAATAATGTTGTAAGTGGAGGTTTATTATTTTATTAAATTTGTGTTATATTTGGTGGATGTTTAAGTGTCCTATTACAAAATCAAAATAATTTTTTATTAATTCAATGTCTATTTTTTTTTCATTTCTGAAGTCTTGTGGCAAATGTGCGTATTAATATTTTAAAATATTCCATTAGCTGTGATGTGTTCCTAACAAACATTTAGTTCTTTATTCAGATGCGTTGTGTGGAGGATTTTGAATTTGTTATAAAATATGTGAGTGAGGCTCTTATCAATAAAACATTTTGTAACGGTGTTATGAGGCTGGTTGAAGTTCGACAAATTCCCTGTTTGTGTTTTATGATTTGATCTAGATCCTTGTTTGTGTTTTATGATGTTCTAGAAGCATGTTTGTGTTTTATGATTTGATCTAGATCTTGTTTGTTTTTTATGAAAATCTAGATCATTGTTTGTCTTTTATGATTTGATCTAGATCTATTTATTGTATATACCGATTGCCATCTTAGAGCCAACAGGCAGAAATATTAGCTCTGTATTTTTTAACTCAACAGAAAAATATGTAGCGATGATGTGGTCAGCAGTATGACCAGCTCTTCACCCACCCCCCCCCAACAGGAAAACTTAGACCACCCCACCCCCACCCCCCCCCCCCCCCACCCCGACCCATCTACCGATTCGGTCTTGTAGACCAATCACAAAAGTTTCGATCTGCTTAGATTCGATCACATATTCAATAGACTCTTCATGTTTATGCATATATGTTGGAGATAAATGAACTGCTATAAATAAAATCATGACTTATAAACTGCTAAAAGGGAGATGTTACTCAGTGGCGTAGCTAGGATTTTTGGGCCCCTATGCCTTGCCTACGCTAGCTTTACGGTAGCTACGCCACTGCTGTTACTAATTGTTTGCATGAACAGCTGCAGTTGATTTAAAGTACGACCTTCTTACGATGTCACAAGTTAAAAATAATCTTCAATAATTTGAAATAAACGTGTTTTGTGATTGGCCATTGTTTCTGAACTCCTATTATTTCATGTAAAATTCCGTGTAAATTAAGGCTAATTAATTGGATTCATTAACCCCAAAGTAATTTCCAGTTACTGCTAATTGCTAATAATTTTTTAAAAATGTAAATGTGATTTCGTTTGCGTTTAAGTTTTGTTTAAATTGCTATTAAAATAGGTGAGTAGGTGTCTCAACCCTGTCCTGTTATCATTTTGTGTACACTCTCGCTAAACAGCAACATACATAAACAAAACAGTATAACAGCATCTTTCATAGTATTGGGGGGGGGGGGTCCGAAAAAAACTGACTTTTGTGGACGCATATGGACTTGTATAAGGAATAAAAGTGGATTTATTTGTGTGTGTGTGGGGGGGGGGGGAGGGGTCCAAAATCCAAAACAAAATTGTGGACGTCATAAATGGATGACCCCTTGTCAAAAAAACATCATTATTTGTAACTGGAAACAAGATGATGTTTACATGAAGATCTTGAATACATTAGATAGATACGTGGGTGTATGGGGTTTGAATGTGTGTGCGAGTGTGTGTGTGTGTTTGTGTGTGTGTGTGTGTGCATATGTGTATCTGCGTGATTGTAAGAATATCTGATTGTGTTACAAACTTCCAACAATAAACAAAGCAGTATTTAATAAATATAATGGTTTTTTTTTCATAAATTTTTAATGCCTCAACCTTTTAGTGGCAAGTATTGTCTTTCTCCCCTACACAAGTACAGCGAGGTCCCTGGGGTACCTGGTACATTTATTTAGCCTGGGAATGTTGTGACTTGGATGCAATACTTGGATGTCAATCTTCTATGATACAAATCATCTGGCGTGGGTTACCAATACAGTTAAAACAAACTCTTGAGGTTTTCATCATAGAAAATAATTCTTCTACTGCTCCCTTTTGAATTGCATAACATTGAACTGTTTCGATTGTTTCGATTATTTTACTAACACGGAGATTCCTTGCATTTTGTTTCATAAATACCTTTATACATTGAACAATGTTAATCGAGGGTGTATCATTTGAGACAATTTCATAATTTGTCCATCGGGTACTTTTCTTTAGAAAGTCTTTTCTACTTAACCATCACTCTTTTGATAGTCAGTTCGTATTTGATAGTTCACTGCCCCTGACCAACCTTTTTTTTTGAAAGTCTACTTCACTTGGCCAACAATTTTAATAGTCTACTGGCCTTGGTCAAAACTTTTAAAATAATCTATTGAACTGTTCCAACATGTTTTTAAGTTAATTGCACTTCGGCCAAAAAATAAAGTCTACTGGCCTTGGCCAAATTTTAAAAATAGCCAACACTTTTTTATAGTCTACTACACTTGGCCAACACTTTTTTTATAGTTAATTGCACTTGGCCAACCTTTTTAAATAATCTAATGCACTTGGCCAACCCTTATTATTAGTCTACGGAAATTGGCCAACCTTTTTAAATAGGCCACTGCACTTGGCCAACCCTTGTTGATTGTCTACTGCACTTGGCCAACCTTTATTGATGTCTATTGCACCTGGCCTAAACTTGTTGACTGTCCACTGCACTTAGTTAAAACTTTCTGGATTGTCTACTGCACTTAGTTAAAAGTTTCTGGATTATCTACTGCAGTTGGCAAACACTTTTTTCAAGAGTTTATTGCATGCAGCCACCCATTTCTTACACATGGAATAAAAGTCAAAGTTCAAATATCCATTATATGATCACATGAATAATCTCAAAACGTATTTTAAGTAGTCCTCAATCCATCAACTACAGGTTGAATATTTCATTATAACTCCATAACAGAAGAGCACGTCACTGCGCAAAACGTTCTAAATTAAAGTACTTCAAAACACAATAAACAACAAGTTGTCCTGGCAACCGGTGACACCCTGCGATGTTTTGCTGACGGTTACGACTGTGTGTGCAGTAGGTTTCTACAAAAACAAAATGGCATCAGTTTAGAATCGGTGACGCAGTCTGCCTGCCCGCGGTAGAGGTTCAACCTTTCAACATTTTCCCCGACCTCAATTACGAGCTGCGTCTCGGTGTGGTGTGATTTCAAGTTCCTTGAAGAATTTCTCACACCGTTGGTGTTGTTGTCAACTTTATGGTAGGCTGTTGCTTCGAATATAGCATGCCCCGGGACTGTTTGGAGTCTGATTTTGTACATGACCCGGTCGTATTTTTCTTTCTTTAAAGCCGTGGTCGAGAAGTCGACTTTCAAGACTTGGATGATTTTATCCAGAGACAGCTCGGCGCAGAGATCCCTGTTGCTTTTGGTGTTGATGACGTCCACGACGTTCTCGGCCAGTGTTTTGGAGATGTCCTCTCCCACGTCGACCTTGGCTAGATTTTTCTGCCCGCACACGCAATACTCCGAGGGTATGTGTGCGTCCTCGCACGTTCTGTTTTTGGGAATTTCCTGAAACAAGCTGATACCTAGACCTTTGTTTACCGGAACTTCCCCGCTGGCTTTGAAGTGTAGCAGGTCCATTAAAGTGGCGTGTGTGTCGTAGTGTGTCGTCAGTCGTCCAGTGTTGGTTCTCAGATTTTTGACAACATCCGGGTATTTTTTTAAAAACCATTTCGGGAACGTCAAAATGGTGTACGGGGTTTTGCTTTCAATCATTCCGTGATAGGTAGGTCTAATCGGCCCCCACCTTGGACCATGATCGGAAAATGTAATCAACAATGTGTTGTTCAGATAACCCTCGTTTGACAATTTTGTGTAGATCTCATACGTGTGATCGTCGATTTTTTTAAGATCATTCATGACGTCATGAGTCAACCGCGTCAAAAAAGCCATGGCGAATTTGGGTACCTCCGGAAACGTGTCGTAAAGTCGCCGGATATAATCGATGTGAAAGTAGAACTCCGGTCGGCTGCCAAGGCAGTCGTTACCTGACAAGTGCACGTCTTTGTCGCTGTCGATAGCCACACTGATGGGGTGGCTGTAGTACGTCGTCGGCGGAAACAAAAATCCCACTTTCGCGTAGTGAAAAGCCCCGATTGACGGGAAATCTTCAGTGTATAAAGTCCGATAACCGGATTTTTCGTAAGCTTTCCATATGAAGTCGAACGCGTCCGTTTTATCGGAGTCTGTCCACCATTTTGTAATGTTGTCTTCTGAAGTACCGGTTAGTAGCGGTATAAAATTCGGGAAAGTGTTGATCCCGACTTGAGTGTGCATGGTGAAATCAAAGGAACTGAAGTCATTCATCAACAAAGAATATGTTTTACTCATAGCACGGAGAAAATGATGCCTCGAAACGCCATCAAACCCAATAATTAAAACATTGAGAATTTCTTTCGGGGATATTTCTGATTTATACTTTTTAAGAAGCAGGGCGTCTATTTTTAACTGCCTTTCCCGCTTAGGAATTAGAGCATAATAGTTTTTGGAGACTTCGTGGGACGTAGAGTTCTCGCACACAACTCGAATAAACTCAGTTGCGTCCCCTAGTAGTATAGAGTTGTTAAAAGGCCGGCTCCATTCCCCAAATTTGGCTATCTTGTCGTCGTCGAGATCTTTAAAAATGTCCTGGTATTTACAGCTGACCGTCTTTAGATCTAAACTCAAGCTGACCTGTGTTGTATTGACGACGAGTTTATTCCCGTCAAGGTACGTTAAATCGGGCAGGTGTTTATCGCAGGCCAAAGCCGTCTGTTGCAGTCCGGATAATTTCATAATCTCCGGATCAAACGGGTTGACGTGCGGGAAAGCACAAGCCAGACCGTCCTCTGTTTCGTTGTGTATCACATATTTGACCACGCTTGTTTTCCGGTCATGCGGAACTTCTAAAACCGTTCCGGTTTTTAGTTTGACCGTCGCAAATGTGGAAGATAAATTTGGTCCCACGAAGTACAAGGCCGCAGAGCTGACCAACAGGAGAAAGATGAAGATCTGAGGCGTGGGTCTGGTCAGGTAATGCTTTTCTGAAGAAAAAAAATTAAAGTTCATCTTTTAAAAATGCATCTGACAACGTGAAATTGAAAACTTAATCCATAAATGCGTCACGTTTTTATTCATTAAGACAGGTTTTAAATTACATGTAAAGTATTCAAACGATTGTGTATCTTATTATAGTATATGAAGTATTATTGGTTTAAGTTCGTAAACTAGGAAAATATTTTTTTAGATCATTGTTTAAAACAGTAAGACACATCGCAACATTGAAAAAAAATTGTTTTACAATGAATAATTATTATATGAGTTACTTGCCTTGTGTAAAAAATCAAACGAGCAAAGGGATGCAATCGAAAACTATGTTACCAAAAATCGTTAAATAATTTTAAAAATTGAACACTATCAGTATAAGGATTTGAGTTCTCAATAAAATTATTATTCCACTAAATAAAAATATGACAATCCATAATTTATTATAGTTTACACAATTAAGTGTTATATTTTGGCTCTGATTTAAATAGAAAAGTGTTAGCTGTATTAAGATTTCAATTAGTAGACTACCGTCTTAATTTCAACAACATCATTAAAAACGTGGAGGTCTATTTAAGAGAAATAAATTAATTTCACATGTAAGAAAAAAAAAATAATAAGATTTATAGGCTACTTGGAATTAGTTTCTTAATTGAATGACCTCCGATAAGCAGAAGCGGTTATCGGAGGTAGAATCGTGGTAGAATTGTAGTTTATTGGTTTAGTGTTAGTGGACAGGGCAAGAGAGGTATAGGGACGGGATGGTTGGTGTAGTGGACAGGGTTGACGGGATGGTTGGTGTAGTGTTGACGGGATGGTTGGTCTAGTGGTCAGGGTTGACGGGATGGTTGGTGTAGTGGTGACGGGATGGTTGGTGTAGTGGACAGGTTTGACGGGATGGTTGGTGTAGTGGTGACGGGATGGTTGGTGTAGTGTTGGCGGGATGGTTGGTGTAGTGGTCAGGGCTGACGAGATGGTTGGTGTAGTGGTGACGGGATGGTTGGTGTAGTGGTCAGGGTTGACGGGATGGTTGGTGTAGTGGTCAGGGTTGACGGGATGGTTGGTGTAGTGGTGACGGGATGGTTGGTGTAATGATCAGGGTTGACGGGATGGTTGGTGTAGTGGTCAGGGTTGACGGGATGGTTGGTGTAAAGATCAGGGTTGACAGGATGGTTGGTGTAGTGGTCAGGGTTGACGGGATGGTTGGTGTAGTGGACAGGGTTGACGGTTGGTGTAGTGTAGTGGTGACGGGATGGTTGGTGTAGTGTTGACGGGATGGTTGGTGTAGTGGTCAGGGTTGACGGTTGGTGTAGTGTAGTGGTGACGGGATGGTTGGTGTAGTGGTCAGGGTTGACGGGATGGTTGGTGTAGTGGTCAGGGTTGACGGGATGGTTGGTGTAGTGGTGACGGGATGGTTGGTGTAGTGGTCAGGGTTGACGGGATGGTTGGTGTAGTGGTCAGGGTTGACGGTTGGTTGGTGTAGCGGTCAGGGTTAACGGGATGGTTGGTGTAGTGGTCAGGGTTGACGGGATGGTTGGTGTAATGGTCAGGGTTGACGGGATGGTTGGTGTAGTGGTGACGGGATGGTTGGTGTAGTGGTCAGGGTTGTCGGGATGGTTGGTGTAGTGGTCAGGGTTGACGGGATGGTTGGTGTAGTGGTTAGGGTTGACAGGATGGTTGGTCTAGTGGTCAGGGTTGACAGGATGGTTGGTCTAGTGGTCAGGGTTGACGGGATGGTTGGTGTAGTGGTTAGGGTTGAAGGGATGGTTGGTGTAGTGGACAGGGTTGACGGGATGGTTGGTGTAGTGGTCAGGGTTGACGGTTGGTGTAGTGGTCAGAGTTGTCGGGATGGTTGATGTAGTGGTCAGTTTATGGCGGCAGAGCGAAAGAACAAGTGTAATCCACGTCTTCTCAAACATAAAGCGCTATTGCCTTAACAAAAATACATTGAAACAGTCCAACGTTTCTTTTTGTTTTTGTTTGTAAACATTAGGTCTAGGCTCATCCGTGATTCTAGCTAGAATCAATACTTCAAGGATTGCTAATAAAAACCCAACAACAAAGCTCTGTCATTCTAGATGTGTTTGTTGTTTTAATTAGACGCTATTTTTCTTCAGGCAACTACCGCTTTCGACCCCTCCCTCTCTGATATCTGATAGTGCCGAGATAAAAACAATGAAACTAAAAACCTCATTGTACATCAGGTAATGTGACATCAAGCATTGACATCAAGTAATGTGACATCAAGCATTGACATCAAGTAATGTGACATCAAGTAATTTGACATCAAGTAATGTGACATCAAGCATTGACATCAAGTAATGTGACATCAAGCATTGACATCAAGTAATGTGACATCAAGCATTGACATCAAGTAATGTGACATCAAGTAATGTGACATCAAGTAATGTGACATCAAGTAATGTGACATCAGGTAATGTGACATCAAGTAATGTGACATCAAGTAATGTGACATCAAGTAATGTGACATCAAGTAATGTGACATCAAGCATTGACATCAAGTAATGTGACATCAGGTAATGTCACAGCAAGTAATGTCACATCAAGTAATGTGACATCAAGTAATATGACATCGAGTAATCTGACATCAAATAATGTGACATCAAGTAATGTGACATCATGTAATGTGACATTAAGTAATGTGACATCAAGTAATGTGATATCAAGTAATGTGACATCAAGTAATGTGACATCAAGTAATGTGACATCAAGTAATGTGATTTTGTTGGCGTGTGGTCGGCTATAGAAATGAAAACAGTTTTAAAACGACAACGGACACCATGTTGACCGTCTATTTGACCAGTGTATAACGTTAGTCTAATGCGCCAACTATTTTTAAACTCATGTGTACGCCTAATTACACATCTACAATAATTGAATTAGAAAGCTGTAAACCTTCAATTTGACAGTTATACAAAACTTTGAGTAGGCAGCAACACAACTTCTAGTACACTTACTACATATTTTTAGATAACCCCTTTGTATTTTCGCGGTAACCTCTGACCTAAGAATACACTGGGACCGCGGGTTTAAGGGTACACGTACCACAGGCTGGGGACCGCGGGCCTAAATCACACGTACCACAAGCTGGGGACCGCGGGCCTAAGGGTACACGTACCACATGCTGGGGACCGCTGGTCTAAGGGTACACGTACCACAGGCTGGGGACCGCGGGTCTAAGGGCACACGTACCACAGGCTGGGGACCGCGGGCCTAAGGGTACACGTACCACAGGCTGGGGACCGCGGGTCTAAGGGTACACGTACCACAGGCTGGGGACCGCGGGTCTAAGGGTACACGTACCACAGGCTGGGGACCGTTGGTACAGCAGCACTCACCTGGAGGCAGAGGGTGTCTGGGCAGGGCCACGTCGGACTCCATCAGCTGACGCAGGTCACGGACACCTCACCACTGACACTTGATGAGATACCTCACTCTAGCTGTCCAGTGCTACTTGATGAGATACCTCACTTTAGCCGTCCACTGTCACTTGATGAGATACCTCACTCTAGCCGTCCACTGCCACTTGATGAGATACCTCACTCTTTAGCCGTCCACTGCCACTTGATGAGATACCTCACTATAGCCGTCCACTGCCACTTGATGAGATTCCTCACTCTTTAGCCGTCCACTGCCACTTGATGAGATACCTCACTATAGCCGTCCACTGCCACTTGATGAGATACCTCACTCTAGCCGTCCACTGCTACTTGATGAGATACCTCACCTTCTAGATGCGGTCCGGTGTCTAATAAAAAGATACCTCACTTTTTCTGCGTCGGCCAACTAAGTTTATACCTATTTAAAATAGAAAATTTATTTGTGGTGAGTATCGCATCTTTTTGTTCTGTTCACATAGATTTAAGTTACCTGCTAACAAAATATCAATGATGTTAAAAAATGAACTATACGTTTTGAACATAACATACTTGTATAAATGAAAACTTGTCTAACGTTTAAAGATTGAATGACATTACCTACAAAAGGAATCGATTTGGTTTTAATAATGTTGAAATAGTGGCTTCGACAAAAACTAACATACACCAGTGGTTTGAGTTACAAAGGTTTTAATTAATAATTACTCTGTCTACTGGCCGCATCGCACTCAAACCAATCCTACACAGTACCCTACAGGAGGGATAACTCAAAGCCACCCCTACACGGAGGGATAACTCAAACCCACCCCTACACGGAGGGATAACTCAAACCACCCCTACACGGAGGGATAACCCAACCCTACACTGTACCCTCTAGGAGGGATAACTCGACCTTCACCGAGCACTTACTTGACCACTTGTCCTACCGAGGTGTACTCATTCCTTAGTGTAATCATTACTACGAGCAGACCCGCGGTGTATCATCCGCCGCTATTTAGTTGTTTTTTTCTACTTTTCAGTAATTCATAATTTGTGAATTCGACAGTACCAATGCTGCCTCTGAAAATATTTGCTTTAAAACACTAAACCCCCCCCCCCCCCCCCCCCCCGTGAAAGCAGCCTCCTCTTAGTTTCAAACTGAATTATCTGCCCCTAATAGCCGTCACCAAACCCTGCTCTACGATTGTTTTGTAAACATTTAGCGTGAACTACAACTCACCTGACCATGTGAGGGGGGTGGGGGTCGGGGGTGGGGGTCGGGGGTGGGGGGAGGGGGTAGCGATAGAGAGGAAGAGAGGGGACTGCTAGGCGCGCGCTTGCAGCTTGTTTTCTAACGGCTCCCAGAAGAGAATTATATATATAGATACTCTTCCATCCATCTACTCGTCTCTCTGTGTTTACAACTCTACGTGTACACATCCCTCCTTGTATTAATTCATCCATACACTCATCAATGTTTATATAGTCATCAATATCTATATACAATACCTATATACAATACCTCTATGTACAAATCCCTCCATGAACACATCCCTTCGTATACTTATCCATCTATCTATTAATTTCTTAGAACTCATCCCCCCAATGTGCACATTCCTCTATGTACACAATTCTACATGTACATATTCCATTCATGTACTCATCCATCTAAGTACACATCTCTTTATTTACACATCTCTTCGTGTACTAATCTATGTATTCATTTCTTAAAACACTTCCATTCATGTACTAATCATTTCATGTACACCTCACTCAGTGTACTAATCATTTCATGTACACCTCACTCAGTGTACTAATCCCTTCATGTACACCTCACTCATTGTACTAATCCCTTCATGTACACCTCACTCAGTGTACTAATCCCTTCATGTACACCTCACTCATTGTACTAATCCCTTCATGTACACCTCACTCAGTGTACTTATCTCGTCATGTACACCATACTCAGTGTACTAATCCCTTCATGTACACATCACTCAGTGTACTTATCTCGTCATGTACACCATACTCAGTGTACTAATCCCTTCATGTACACGTCACTCAGTGTACTAATCCCTTCATGTACACATCCTTTAGTGTACTAATCCCTCCATGCACTTACTGATGCCTTTACACTTCCCTATGTAAACTTACCCTCTAATACATGTGTATTTGCTATGTAGGGCCTACGTTATCTCGTGAATTGGGCATGTCTATGAAAGTTATGAACTTTGCTGTTCTGTTTGCATTATTTATTTTTGTACTCGGCCACCAATTACCCTGATATAGTAAGAAATGTCACCATATTGCTTTTACTGGTCATTATATTGTATACTGTAATAAACAAGCATTTAGTAGGCATTCCATTCCCTCTGGGCACTTTAACTTTGTCAACGAGGCGAAGACAGTCTTTAAAAATAAAATACAGATTTCTGTCAAATAAATTTTTTTTTTGGTCCCGTTTTACATTTTCTGCACAGATCAAAAATTATATCCATGTGTTTTTTAAAAGATTGTAAGATTTTGTTATAGGAAATATATATATATATATATATATATATATATATATATATATATATATATATATATATATATATATATATATATATATATACATAACTGACTGATTTCGTCGGTCAAGAATGACTCCAAATAATTAGCGTTTTTATATTGTATAAATTAATAGACCATGTTTGAAATATTTGGCTTTGAAAGTATAGAACAACGGGGTTTCAAATGTACCATTGAATCAAGGATACTCAGTTTGGATGAAATAGCTGCTCATGTTGTCGTTTCATATTATTTCCATGAAAACGTATCCGTCCTTAAGAGCGGCTGAGCATAGTGATGACCACACTATTCCTTTATATGCCCAGGTCACAGAAACAGTTGTACTTAACTTCATTTGCCCCATGGACTGTTAAGTCGATGAGGGAACTTTACTTTCTGTACCCGTGGTCGAGTCGGTAAAGCTCAAGGTTGTTAAATCGAAAGTATCGAGTTCGAACCCTCGGGCAGATGAGGCTCGTTAGCCAAAATCAAACAACTGCTGCCTTGTAGTTTGTTGTTGGTTGGACAAAGGCTATGGAAGCAAATCAAATATAAAAACAGGCTGAAATCGGAGTCAATGGCCTCAATGGCGCATAACAATTTGAAATGTATACTTAATTGTGTTGGAGATGATCCCTTTCAACACTAAAATTAAGATAAAATTATGATAAAGAACACATACGGGAACATTTGAGTAACATTAGAGGTTTATTTGCAAAGTGACAACTGGTTAAAGTCTATATTTTGTATAAAAAAATACTTCAATCGGGGGACGATAGACGCGCTTTGTGGTGGGGGGGGGGGGGGGAGCAGTAGGCCTACCTAAATGAAACACTGTGCAGGTTATGATCTTGTATATTATAAACCGAAGTTGTTTTTTTTTATAGCGATAACTAAATGGCTAAGAAACGCTAGAATTATAGATGGTATAAAAATATTTCTTTTAACGAAATTAACTGTTTAGTTACTTACGTATACAGGCAACATATTACCTTCTAAAATATCTGGCGACCAAATTCCATCTATCTACAGAAAGTCCGTCCACATTCCGACCTGATAGAAAATAACAGTCATTTCGTACTCATTAAGTCCTTGTACAAACTTCAGTTGTAAATCAGTTAATATCAGATTACACCCTTGCAACATAAATATCTGAACAGACTACACCATTGCAACATAAAACTCTAATCAGATTACACACTAGCAACATAAAAATCGGATCAAATTACACACTTGCAACAACAAAAAAATCGTTAAGATCAAACATCGAACTACAACAATGGGTATCAGTCAGACACACTCTTCTATAAAAGCGGCAGCATCCATCACTCACAACACCATATGTACCTAGTCTATCTTACCCCCCCCCCCCATCCATCACTCACAACACCATACGTACCTTCCTATCTTATCCCCCATCTATCACTCACAACACCATACGTACCTGCCTATCTTATCCCCCATCTATCACTCACAACACCATACGTACCTTCCTATCTTATCCACATCTATCACTCACAACACCATATGTACCTGCCTATCTTATCCCCCATCCATCACACACAACACCATACGTACCTTCCTATCTTATCCACATCTATCACTCACAACACCTTACGTACCTCTTCCTATCTTATCCCCCCCATCCGTCACTCACAACATCATACGTACCTGCCTATCTTATCCACATCTATCACACACAACACCATACGTACCTGCCTATCTTATCCATCTTCTATCACACACAACACCATACGTACCTAGTATATCTTATCCCCCATCTATCACTCACAACACCATACGTACCTAGTATATCTTATCCCCCATCTATCACTCACAACACGTTACGTACCTGTCTATCTTATCCACATCTATCACTCACAACACCATACGTACCTGCCTATCTTATCCATCTTCTATCACACACAACACCATACGTACCTAGTATATCTTATCCCCCATCTATCACTCACAACACCATACGTACCTAGTATATCTTATCCCCCATCTATCACTCACAACACGTTACGTACCTGTCTATCTTATCCACATCTATCACTCACAACACCATACGTACCTTCCTATCTTATCCCCCATCTATCACTCACAACACCATACGTACCTGCCTATCTTATCCCCCATCTATCACTCACAACACCATACGTACCTTCCTATCTTATCCACATCTATCACTCACAACACCATACGTACCTGCCTATCTTATCACTCACAACACCATACGTACCTTCCTATCTTATCCCCGTGCAACACTATCCTCGTTGAACGGTTATATCCCCTGCTAGGCTGAGAAACTGAGTTAATTAAAATAATATTCAGAGCTCGCGACAACTTATCACGTGACATATCGAACTGCGCGCTTGTCACCAGAAACACAAAGCCGTTTGTAGAATATTATTTTTCATACCGCGCGACAAAGTATTATCTTTCTAGCAACAAATCGTGTCGCCTCAATTAGCTCGACGGGTATCACAAGTTAAGTCCCTTGCTCAAGGGGAGTTAACCAGACAATTAAAAACAAGGGGAGATTACTATGATTTTACCCAGTGCGACGTAATGGGGTATAGAAATACATCTTGGTTATGTTTAACCCGGTAATTGAACGGATAGCTTGTATAATTTAAATTTGTGTCAATGGAGCCCCAATAGATGAAGTCTTTTGGGGTCATCCGCATAAAGAGGAGAAGGGATGGGAGATAATTTGTGTAGTTTTACCCGAACGTACAGCACTTTTGATTTTGCTGTCTGTTGAAAAGGTTCTTCAAAGATGTGTAGGCTACTGTCTACTGGTGACTTAATCGTCTAAGATAGTTATTATATGTTCTATACATGTATATAGGTTATATATATATATATATATATATATATATTTATATATATATATATATATATATATATATATATATATATATATATATATGTATATATATGTATATATATATGTATATACATATATATATATATATATATATATATATATATATAGATATATATATATATATATATATATAGGTTGTATACTTCTATATAGCTACACAAATTTCAGAGAACAAAACAAAAAGATCGTTTGTGGATGAGATCTAACCAAGTTGGTAGAGTTTGTACAACCAGAGCAGTCGATGTATGTATCGATCAGTTTTAGACGACGAACATCGGTTAAATAAGGACCTCAATAATGGAGCACATTGTGATCTTAGCAACCAGATGGTCAACTTAGCAACCACTTGGTCAAGTTAGCAACCACATGATCAACTTAGCAACCACTTGGCCAACTTAGCAACCACATGATCAACTTAGCAACCACATGGTCAACTTAGCAACCACTTGATCAACTTAGCAACCACGTGGTCAACTTAGCAACCACTTGGTCAACTTAGCAACCACTTGGTCAACTTAGCAACCACTTGGTCAACTTAGAAACCACTTGCCAACTTAGCAACCACATGGTCAACTTAGCAACCACCTGATCAACTTAGCAACCACATGGTCAACTTAGCAACCACATGGCCAACTTAGCAACCACATGGCCAACTTAGTAACCACATGATCAACTTAGCAACCACATGGTCAACTTAGCAACCACATGATCAACTTAGCAATTACATGGCCAACTTAGCAACCACATGATCAACTTAGCAACCACATGGCCAACTTAGCAACCACCTGATCAACTTAGCAACCACATGGTCAACTTAGCAACTATATGGTCAACTTAGCAACCACTTAATCAGAGTGACCAGCATATGGTTGACTTACATACGTGTAAGCAGCCACATCGCTGTAAGCTTTAACACTGTCTCACACAAGGAAGAGAGAGCAGCTCGACTTTCGCTTTGTTGGTAGGCAACCAGGTTCAATACACGGAGCAATTAATTAGGTCGATTAATTAAGGATTAATTAGCGAGTACACTTTCAATGTCTGTTATAACAATATAACAAATTTGCGAGCTCGATCATTGGTACTCCTTAGTAAAGATAACCAACACAACGACTATACCATTAAACAACATAAAACATTGATACATTTATCTACACAAACACTAGGCCTATATCATTCAACAACATAAAACATTCAGGGGCGGAACTACAGTGCCGCCAGACCCCGCAATGCGGGGGGGGGGGGGGGCAGGCCGTTTAGGGGCCCACAGCCGACCATAATCAATTTCTTTATAGTTAAAAAAATAATTTTCATATAAAAGAAACATATCTACTACAGTAGTGATGTTCTACTGTAGCTAACACACGCTGCATCGTAAAGGAAAAAAAAGTATATATGAGTTGTAGTGTGAAAGATAGGTAAACGTTCAAACCACTTCCATGACTTATTTCCCTTTTTTAAATAGTCAAAAATGTGTTTGCTCTGAAGAACCTTTTAATAGATTTGCACTAAACAAATTAAAAAGCAATTACTTCTCTTAATTATTATTATGTTTTAAATACATAATAAAGAATGACATAGTATAAATAGGAAATTTATGAAAAGCTAATAAAATAAATAGAAAAAAAACATAAAAATAAACATAAGGCGAGAAACCATTACACAAACAAAGCTTTCATGCCTCATATTCTTTTGACCAAACCAGTTATTTAGAAGGCATTATGTCAAACTTAAATACAGAGAATTTCTAAATAGACTAATAGAACTCACTTAAGTGATCTGTTGTTGTAACATGCTATAATTATAAATAAAAAACTAGGAATTTTTAGTTTCTCAAATATCGAACATGCCCGTACTGAGTATTTTATATTCGGATTTTCGTATTTTGCTATATATATATATATATATATATATATATATATATATATATATATATATATATAATATATATATATATATATATATATATATATATATATATATATATATATATATATATATAATTATGGGGCCCAAAAATTTTTTTTGCGGGGTGGCCCTTTTTTTCTAGTTCCGCCACTGAAAACATTGATACATTTATCTACTCATCTACTTGTACAATCAACAGAACAGTTATTAGTACGTTTTCCAACATATTCAGTAGGACAATTACCGACACAGTCATGAGTTGCATCATCGACACAATCATTAGTTTTTATCTTCTGTACAATTATGGACTCAATCATCGATACAATAACCAACACAAACATTTAATACAATCTTCCGTAAATTCACCAACACGATCTTAAGTACACTCATCAACACAATCTTCCGTACAATCACAACATAATCTTCAGTACAATCATCAACACAACCATAGGAACTCTTATCAACACATTCTTCTTAAAATCCATCAACTCAACAATCGGTACACAAATTAACCATTACCAATACTGAACCATTACAATCATCTACTGCAACATTACAATCATCTAATGCAACATTACAATCATCTACTGAACCATTACAATCATCTACTGCAACATTACAATCATCTACTGCAACATTACAATCATCTACTGCAACATTACAATCATCTACTGCATCATTACAATAATCTATTGCAACATTACAATCATCTAATGCAACATTACAATCATCTACTGAACCATTACAATCATCTACTACAACGTTACAGCCGTCAACTCCAACATCAGTTCAATCATCCGTTCACTTACCACTAACACATATCAGTAAAGTAGTAACCAGCAGAACAATACTAACACAGTCAGGGGAAATTTTAAAAGCCCGCTTCGCTCTTTCCCCACCCAAACCCCAAAATAAAATTGGCATTTTGCAATTTTCCCATCAAAGTCCGATGATCATCCCCAGCTTGATGGAAATTCACGCGACAATTTCTTTTTAAAAATCAAAGCACTAATAGGCCTAGTACAGCTCTGTTCCTAAGGGCCCATCCGGATTTTTTTCCCGGGGGCCCACCGGGATTTTTTCCGATAGACCGGCGGGCCAGTCCCCCACTGAACACATCCATACAATAAAGTGTACACACATGTCACCACTGAACACAGCCACACAATAAAGTGTACTCTAATTTACTCAATCCCATGCGCATCAAACCATCATGAGTAAAATCGTGATCCCAACCGTTATCACTTCTAACATCCTCCATATAATGAGAAGTATAACGATCGGAAAACACACCATGATTATAAACACAATAAATACTATAGTCAACGGTTCTGTCTTTAGTTCAGTTGAATAAAATCATAACTAGTCTTTAATACAATCACCTGTATGTTGAAATCACATGTAGAAATCATCGGGACAAACGTCAGAAAAAATCTGCACAGTAGTTAACACAATTATCAACGCAATCATCAGAAAAACCACAAGTCATTATATACCATCTGTACAATAATCAACACTGACAAGTGAAACCTGACGACAAACCCAACCACTAATCGAACCACACACCTGTCTGATCCTTATGACGTCAACACAATACCTTCATGACATTGGCCTAGGTGACTGTACCTCATGAGAAAAACAAAAAAAAACTGAAAAAAAAACCTTCCACAGCAAGATCAGGCACGAAGCCTAAATGGCGAACCGTTTTTGGCCAATTAAAAATCGACCTATTGATTTTAATTAATTAAATTAAAAAACAGGTTACAGTCGAGGTGAAAAACAGGACAAAGCGAAAACAAGAGCCTACTTTAAAATCGTCAGCTCAGGAGAAATGAAGCGAAATTTTTCTCCACAGACACGTCTGGTAAAAGTAGTTTGTTTATGGCTTTCTTACATTGTCATGGGGCGTAGGAATACCTGGAGTCGAGTTAACTGCAGAAACTCAGGACAAAAGCATTTTCACATGGTCGGGTCTCCAAACTTTTTATGTGGGTATCTTATTATTTTAAATTCAGTCCAACTACTGGGACAGTTGTTATGGCTGCATAAAATATCATATTTTTGGGATTATTTTACATACCTAGTATAGAGTGGGAAAATATTCGCTCTAGATTATTTATTATTATAATAGATATATTCGCTTCCATAGCCTTTGTCCCAACTAATAACAAACTACACTGCAGTAATTTTTTTTGATTTTGGAGTTTTCTCTCCTACATGAGTTGCTGGGTCGTATATAAATGTTAGTAGTGGGACGCAGAGTTTCTTCCAGGCATCTCTTCGGTGGGGGGGGGGGGGGGGGGGGGTCGGAGCCCCCACGAAGAAAGTCTACCGCCCCCCCCCCCCCCGAACGAAATGAAATTTTATAGAAAATTATATATACTTTACCAGTGTCCGCCCCCGCCCCCCCCCCCCCCGAAAAGTTCAAGTGCCCCCCCCCCCCCCAGGAGAAAAAAGGTCTGGAAGAGACACTGGTGGACGATATAGTACTGTTATATCAATTTTCCTTCTGATATTGTGATATGTTGTCGCCTCGAGGATTATTTAAAGTGTGTTCCTACAGATGCAAGCGACACTTCTGAACTATGTAGGCTAAATTTTTAACAATCGCTAAAATGCCACACCTCTTTATAAATCCGTTTGTAGCGAAGTTCGTG